CCCTAGGTACTAGGCCTTCGGAATTTCAGATTTGGGGGAGAGCCCCAGGAGGACAGATTTAGAGTCCATTCCTGTCTGAAGGCGTAGGCAAGGCCTCGGGATAGGCCAACGGAGATAAGGGGGCACCTCCATTAAGAAAGACACCTCGGGGGCAAAGAATAAAAGGCGAGAGGCAGGCGCCTTTTGTCAAAGCAAAAGCGGGTTTCCCGGCCTCGAGGTACTGGACTCCAGCCTCTCCGGGCCTCGCCATCTGGGCCTTTGTCTCCCAGCCCTGGCCCATTCTCCCCGCCCCTCCTTGCTTCCTAGCTTATAACTTTGGCTCCATCCCATAGCTCTGGCCCTCCTGGTCTGACCCACTCTCCCTGGTTGGACCCCAACAGACACACTCACATGCTAATGTCTCCCCCTATTGGTCTTTCATAGCACTGCGGGCGCCTGGGACAAATGAGGCTCTCACTGAACAGGAGTGTGGCACACACTAGCTTGGCACACGCGCTTGAACACAAGGCCTGGAACAACTGCGGTGACCTTGGCAGAACTGTGCCCCAGTATGAGGAAGAAGAGAAAGCACAGGAGAAAGATATGGATTTGGGACTGCCAAGGATATAAAGTCTCCTTGCTGTTTCTCTATGGAAATAATTAAGTGAGGAACCATTTGGGGCACAGAAGTGCTCTACCATTTATAGTTTCATGCCTTTATCGCATTTAAGTAGGAGACTGAGATACTGAGTTTCTCACTGAATTCTCTGATTATCTCTTTGGCTGTAGAGCGGACCTCTATTTGGGGGGAAATAAAAAAGAAGAAGCTGTCCCTCTTACACTCAGGGACAGGGCCTCCAGAGTGAGAGGGATCTGGGTAGACAGGGTTGAGGAGGAGCTGCCTAGGGTCTCTTAGATCCTACCGGGACCCTTTATTGGGCTGTGAGCAAGGACAGATGAGAACAAGATGCAAGGGCACATCAAACTCCAGCTTGGAGATGAGGTTCCCCCCAAGTGCATGGCAGGACATCAAAACCTGAGTATGGAAAGCAACCTGCCACTTACTGGGCCTACTCTGTGTCAATAACTGTGTTAGATGCATTTCCTTTCACAATCCTTTGAGATGAGTTTCACTATCCCCATTTTACACAAGGGGAACACTAAGGCTCAGGGAGGAGAAGTGATTCATCCGAGGTCACCTAGCTGCTCAGTGGTGGAAGCAGGATTTGACTCCAGAGTTATCTGTCTCCAAAGCCCATGCCCATTCCCCTCTACCATACTGACTTGCCACATTTCCAGCCCCTTCTGACTTATGTGCTTACTTAATTCATTCCTGGTTAAAAGCTGGTTCATGCCTGAAAAGCAGCAGTCTTCGGGATAGCCAGGACCCTACTCTTAACTCACAGTCCTCCAAGAGGTTACTAGGCCTAGGAAAGTTCATCTGTGTCCCTGGTCACATCCCCAAGGGCCCAGCTAAAATCACCACTGCCAACCCCAGAACCAGCCTCAGATTTCACTTTCCACCTTCCAAGTGCCCCTTGGGAGGAAGGCAAACCCCAGATCAGGTGTGGGATGAAGGAGGAGGCTCTGTTGCTAGGCTGCAAAAACCTGGGAAGACAGAAGCAATTCCTGAGTGTGCCAACACCTAATTCTGAGTGGGAAGGGCAGCAGAGGAGAGAGGAGAGAGGAGAGACATTTTTATGTCTAGGCCTTCTCCACATGCTGCTCACATTTGGTCATGGCACAGACGTTCTGCCTCAACTTGTCCACCCCAGGTACAGGAGCCTTAGGAGCAGGGCTGGGACTGCTCTCTGCTCCAGCCGGGGCTGGTGACTCTGGGCCCCCACCTTCTGCTCCACCTTAGCAGGGCCTCAGATGTAGTGATTCAGGCCCCTGAGGTAGGGAAAAATTACTCCCCAAGGGAGACTGAGAGGAAGTCAGGATCTATGGGGGAGGTGGGCCCTCTCTTATCCAAGCCCACACCCCCTCAGGTTTCAGGTTCACCAATGTTTTCTGAGCACTGATCCTATGCTAGCCTATGCGCTGGGCTTGTCCTGGTGACCCACAGAGGAACCCCACCAAGCCTTGCCTTGGAGGAGCTCCAAGCAGACTGAAATCAGTGTGTGGGGACCCCCTGGGCCCAGGGATGCAGAAGGCCTCAGGCACCACACCCTGAGCTCAGCTTCTCACCCCCATGGGAGGCAGAGGAGATAAGCTTCTGAGCCACAGATTTCACTGCTTATCAGCTCTTTTTTTTTTTTTTAACTTTTTATAATTTTTATTTTTGTTTAAAGTATTACAGATGTCCCTTTTTC